ACACACACACACACAAAGCCCTGGTACTGCCTTTCAGACACAATACAGCTATAGGACAGAACATCTACACATGTATGCGAACACACACCCTGTACACAACTTAACACTAGAACTTCTGTCAGATGTCTGCGACACTAAACCTGATGTGCTAGTCATCAAGTAGCTGCTAATAACCTCACCTATGGCTGCGTCCCAAATCGCCTACTACTCGAGTAGGTACTTCGTTTGAATTTGCTACAGGACCATTAGAAAAGTACCTTCCATATCAATGCAATATCACAGCAATTCGTAACTTTTTGAGTTAGTGGCTAATTCGTACGATCTATTTAGTACAAATTAGTACGATTTGCTAATCACCCAATGACGGTTGGGGTGCCACGCCCCCTTTTTAAAATCATATTTTCGTATAACTGAACTCGTATGAATTCGTCACTAATCTGACGAAACGTAAAATACTTATCAGGCTGGCCATATAAAATGAATGGAAGTCGGACTTACTACATTGGCTATTTGTCATGATCACATGACCTCGCATTACTTCAATCCCATTAATTAATTAGTAAGCGGCGCATTATGCGATCGCACTTTATATTTCAGTATTAGAATCTCAGTAGCGGTCGGTCATCTGGCAACTTCTCGCTTGCTGAATTCAGACACACTACTCCGCTTGCATGCTGTTTTTAGCGTACTATATAGTGTGTTAGTATGTGATTTCGGACGCAGCTAATGTCTTCGTTAAATTAGCTACAGAGGAAACTGAATGTGCAGACATGTTATGCTGGTGTGTGCTACAGCACCTCTAGTGGCCACCTCAGAGAAAGCAGCGGTGTGTGTAATCCAGTGTTTGTGTACCTGCGTGGTGTTTCTGTCCATCAGACTCTTCTTGTTTTCTGGGCTCATGTAAACTGTAATAATCAGAATATTATGGTGCTATTGTATTCGTTACACTGGTGCAGGAGGAAGAGAGATCGTCTGCTCATCGTCCAGTGCTGTTTACTTGTTTATTTTGTCTTACGGTGAGTTTCACTGAACTCAGGTCAAAGGGTCAAGACCCACCAGCACTGATCCCTCATCAAGAACCACCTGATGAACTGGGTTCGGCTTCCGTATACTCACCATTTACTGTAATATTAGTGGTTTTTGCAATTTATTAATAAACATTTTTTGTACTGTACATTTAACTAGTGTTGAGCTTTGTTTGTAAAGAACAGACTTACAGCTTTACACATTTACAAGTCATTTTAATGTGTATAAAAGTAACATTACAAAATCATCTCTGATTCACACATAAAGAAAAACACTAGTGAACTAATCATTTAAATATAATGTGTCCGAGTAAAAGCTCTAAAGCGTGATGACTATATAGTGTATTTTGTAATAAGTGTAAGTAACTCGCACCGTAATATTATCGCAGACAGTATTAAAACAACATGACTGATCTATTTTGCCGTTAGTGAATTGCCGCCAATAATGCTGTCAGTTGGAGTCCGTTATTTTAAATGTATGCGCGCGCTGCGGGGGTTTAAAAGCGCGCGGCCGCCGCATCGGAACTCTGTCAAACCTTTCAAACAATCAACACGACATCTGAACAAACCCGAGACAAGTTTCTCATCTGCTGAGTAAACAATCCTACATCAACATCAAACTCGACACTTCAGTATCGACGATCTCGACGGTAAGAGTCCACAACTCGGGGAGTTTCGCTTAAGTGTGAGTAAACTATGGTAAACAGCAGTATGCGTGACAGACGGTAAACAGGTTCACGACGCGTTTCACTATCTATTAAGAGTAGTTAGTGAGTATTAAAAACACTAATGCTATATAAATATTACAGTGAAATATTCAAGTGTGTGTCAATGTTGAAGATCATTCATAACACATGAACACTTCACATTACAGTGATGCAAACAGGATTACAGTAGGGTCATATTAGGAATAATCTGTGCTTAATTACAGGCCTGCAGTCAGCCTAATGAAGGGGTGGTTCTTTTTCACAAGAAGTGCACTTTTTTTGCAGGTATTCACCTGAATTTCCATTTAACAGTGCATTTTAAGCATTATTTGTGTCTGCATTAGCTTGTTGGATGCTCATCATAACCACACTTTTTACCAAAAACATTTGCTAAAGATTTAGAATAAAGCAATGTGAAAAAAACTTTATTTATACTTATTATTTTAAAAATACAAATTCAGTATCATTAGAGAAAAGAAATCTGTTAAAGTTTTAATTAAAAACGGTTTAGTCTATTGTCAAACCGGCCAGCACATTCGACTGTCCTCCGTCAGATCTTTTCCATGTTAATAATAATAAAATAAAACATAACAATAATAACGTAGAGCTTCCCAATTTTTCAGCATCTCTCGTAAAGAGTAAATTCGTAGATGACAATAGCCAAATTTAGTTAAATGAACTTTAATAATCTTCAGAATTAACTCTTGTTGCTTTTTATTAGTCATTTTTCTTTTAATAATAATGTCCCAGATTTAGAATAAGTTACTTGTAAAATGCCTTTCCTATTTATCAGCAATACAGTCGCTCAGTAGTGAGAGATGACTTCAGTTCCGTCAGATTTCCATCTTAAAGCTTTCTTCGATGGGTTACTTTCCGTATTTATGATGGCATAAGACAAATGAGCTCATGTATGGGACAAATTCTGGACCTGTCAGTGGAGGATGGGTCTTCCGAACCACTTGAACCACCCCTGGCTACAGGCCTGAATCAGCATTGTAATAATCTGTGTAAAAAAGTCTTGGCCCTTAAAATATCCAACATTAATATCTGTTTCAGTGAGAATATAAATACTCAGAAAATATCAAACTCATGAAGCTTTAAAAGCAGACCCGCTGAGCAAGACGGAATGTTCATTAATCTCTTCACATTAACTGCGCTTATGTCCTAAAAACTACACTACCCATAATGCTGTGCGGAAACGCATAGCCAGTGAGCTCTCTAAATACTGAAGTGTGTGTACACTAGTGGCGTAATGGATCACAGAGCTCACGGTTCGTCACCAAATCAGTTTTCAGATCAGCCAATAAGAGGAGACGAATATAATTAGCTTTCCCTCTCTTACAGAAACAGCACAGACCTGAGAAAGCTTAATTTCATTACAAATAAAACAGAAATAATCAGCTGAATAAAATAAACTGTGAAATATTGAGTGCTGTGAAAGATTCCCTGTTACTGAGTGCTCAATGTGCAGCTCAGTTCTCATTTCTACAAGCCATGATTACTGTAGTCTGATCCTCAATAAATGCTCCAGTTCTTCATCTTTCATCGCTACATGCTCATTCTTGAGGAATTATTCAGCGCTGTATTTCTGGCTGGTTGTCGCCACCTACTGGTGAAATGCTGTAATGCTGCCTACGCTTTCATGTCCGAGCGTGGTTGAGCTGCAGTGTGTGATTGTGTTCTGGAGCGTGTGCTGTTGTGCTGGTTGAAAGTCTCTCCACAGTCCAGTGATGACAGTGAATGATCTAAATGTGTTCATCTGCTCTACCTGTAAACTGTATTAATCCGCGGGTCACGCGTGTCCTGAACCGTGATGCTGTGATCTGTTCGAGATTATGGGCAGTTCTCTGCTTTATTTGTGCACATCTTGGCATTTCAGTTCAGCTGTTTTTATGCAACATTCCACAAACAGGTGGACGAGAGACGCTGGCAGTGCATCATGGGACTGTAGGATGTCTAGTTGGTCTGAATATCATAAACATTCGTGTTTCAGATCAACACAGGTACATCTGCTTGTAGCATGCTGGGTAAGTTAAGGATTATAAAGCGTGTTCGTGATCCCTACACTCTAACTGCTGGGCTGGGTCAAATACCCCCCACTGGGCTAAACAGTGTGATAAGTAAGTTTAATGTTGGCGGGGGTCAGCTGAGGGGCGGGGCCAGTAGAGGGTGTGGTCAGCTGAGAGTGTGGTCAGTGGGGGACAGTGGAGGGTGTGGTCAGCTGAGGTTGCAGTCAGCAGTGGGTGTGGTCAGCTGAGTGCGGGGGGCAGTGGGAGTGTTCAGCGGAGGGTGTGGTCAGTGGAGGGCGTGGTCAGCTGAGCGCAGGGGGCAGTGCCGGACTCCTCCTCCGGATCTCCTGCTGCAGCTGCTCCTTCAGGGTGTTGAGCTGCTCCTCCAGACCTCTGACCCGCTGCCGGTGTGCTCTCTCGCGGGCCGCTAGCGTGCGCTCCGCCTCTCTCTGGCTGACCCGCAGTCGCTCCGCCTCCCGCTCCGCCTCCTCCTGCTGACGGCTCTGGTGCTCGCAGCCGCAGTGACTCTGCTCCATCTCCACCAGCTGAGCCTGAAACAGCAGCGCCACCTTCAGTTCACACACAGCAGGAGCAGCGCTAACCCTCCACCGCCGCTCTACTGCGCTAGAAGCTCATCACACACACACACACACACACACACACACACACACACACACTCACACACACACAGCTCATACTCACCTGACACACACCGATCCTCTGCCTGATGCCGACTAACTCTTCCTTACACACACAGCATAAAACACACACACACTGTTAATCATTCACACACACTCACTGTTAATTTGTCATATACACACACACACACACACACACACACACACACACACACACACACACACAGACATACATACATACACACACACACACACATACACACACACACACACACACACACACACACACACACACAGCATATACACACACACACACACACAGCATATAGCATACACAGTCACTGTCAAAGAGGTCTTAAAGCGTTTTCTCCCCCTGAAGGAGCGCTCGTGTTCCTCCTGGAGCTCTACACTCCTGCATGTGTTATGAGCAGGCCGTCTCGTCAAGATGGAGAAACACATGTTTGTATATGTGTGTGTGTGTGTGTGTGTGTACCTGCAGCAGTGTGATCTATGTGTGTGTG